GTAAATGGGATCGACTCCTTGATTTGTCTCTCTTCTGTCTTGTTGTTGGTGTATAGGAATGCCACTGATTTCTGTGCATTGATTTTATAAAATAAAATCTTTTTAAAAAAAAAAGGAATTTGAAAGGCAAAGACTGTGATGTTATATGGGAATTCTATTTACGAAGCATTACATTGTAGCACAGTCTATGAACATGTTGTAAACATAGACACCAAGAGTTGAGGAGCAAATATATTAAGACTGGAAGAATGAATCCAGGGGATCCCCAGACTTAAGAGAAATTTCTATAACTTGGAAGACAACCAAAATTAAGAAAATGGGTAGCATAATATTGTCACATAATGAGACTCAATAAATACTTATTGAATGAAGTAAGGAAGAACATTCCATCACTGTTGTCTTATGGTATTGTTACATTAACCCCTTCTTTGGTAAATACTCAGTTTACTGTTGGGTATTTATCTCCATGGAATCATTTACTCAATTTTTTTATATTATGGAATTCAGTCTTTATAACACAAGGTTATGTAGAAAGTAGCCATAATATACCTCTATTTTAACACTACATTATGATATTATAATTGAAGTGTGTAGGAAACTTGCAAGATTATAAATTCCTTGAGGAACTGTGTATATCCATATTAACTGCTATAACTATTTAAAAATGAAAAAGTTTGCCTTTTTTCCACCCACCATTCATTTTCCTTTCTGACTCATTTTCTTACCTTCAGTTTTGTTTTGTTTTTTTTCTTTTTACATCGTAACTCCATCTAGTCTGTGCTGCTTGACAAGCTAAAACACTGATCTTCAAACCCTTTTCACCATGTGTCTCTATCAGCAAAAAGATCTTTGTCATTCCTAACTTACATGTATAAAACACATATAAACAGTGAAACAGGATGAGGTAAACATTTTTTTTCTTGAATAGCTTTTTTTAAATTAATTTTACTTTATTATGTTATGTTAGTCACCATACATTACATCATTAGTTTTTGATGCAGTGTTCCATGATTCATTGTTTGCGTATAACACCCAGTGCTCCAT